CGGCAGCCGACGCCGCGCTGCTCCCGGAGGCGCCAGGCCCGGGCAGGCYGCACCGCGGCGCCGCTGGGAAGCGTCGCTGCCCACCCAGAGCCTTGCACAGGTACAGGTGCACGCTGTGAGTGTGTGCATAAGGCTGTGCATTCCCCTCGCCTGGGCTCTCAACGTGAGATGCTCTGAGGGCTTCTCCTGCCTCAGTGCAGCTCTAATCCAGCCTGGCTCACAGGGAGCTCCGAGAAGCAGGGAGAGCTGGCTAGGGGAGCCGCGGAAGTGCTGTTTCAGCCTTAAGCTTAAGATAAACCGCCCACATCCAGATCTTTTCTCCTCAATTCTTGTTATAATCCTTCCCAACATGATCACTACACCTAACTCGGATTTCGTGTTATAATCCTCTCAACATAATGACTACACCTAACTTGGAAATGCCTCTCTGTTGCGCTGCTTTCTCTCGCTTGCTCTCCCTGTAAGAATATCCAAGACAACAGGTGGGACTTACCAGTCTGCACACCCAGTTCCTTCTTTGTGCTGCTCCTCTTCAAAGCTGCACCTTGGGATTATTCCCCAATCAGTCACTGGAAAGATGAAACAGAACCATGAAATGCTCTGGCCACTTAGAGCCGAGGGAGCTGTGCCCGTGGCCTGGTGTGGGTGCTTGGCTGCACACGTCGTATTGCGGTTGTATCAGCAGGACAGGCCCAGGGGAGCTCCCAAGGGCAGGAGGGCAGCCGGGTTCCCCCAAGGCGTGAGGGGGAAATCGCACAAGAAAGAGGCAGGGGCACCATGAAGGCATGGACGGGCAGCTGCATCTTCTAACGGGGCCCGGTGACAAGGCGGTGTTAGGGAATGAAGGACATAGGCTGCAAAGGAAGTACAATTTCAAACGCACGAGAGGGACCATGCCATTTACAGGCAGAGTGACCCGCAGGCAGGTGGTGGCTGGGCACGCACAGGGCGCAGAGCTGTGGCGCCCGCGGGCAGAGCGCGGAGAGAGCGCTGGCCTGGCGCAGGGGACACGGCAGCTCCCGCCCGGCATCGCGCAGCCGGAGCCGCTTCTGCTCCCAGGGGTGCACAGCGGGCCGAGGGCGAGAACCAAGGGGTGCTGTTAATCAATAAAACACAGAGATACACTTTATTTTGAACCAAAAGTTAAAATTTTATTTGGAATATCAATATACCAAAAAAAATAAAAATAAAAACTTCCTTTTATGTAGTGAAATAGCCATTTGAAAATGGTAAAATAAAGATATTTCTCATACTATTCTCTTCTAGATATTGTACATGTATTTAAGGTTTTTTTCTTTTTTTTCTGAATAGAAATCTATCTTGAGCTTTATGGCTCCAAAAAGCCTAACGCGTGTAGTGGCTCTTTTGAGAAAGCAGATAAGTCAATCATCAGAGCTGTGTTTTTTTCAGCAGACAGGCCTGTTTGAAGCTGTCCAGGACCAGACAGAAATGAGACTTCTCAGGAAGGCTGTTATTTTAGGGGAATATTGTTTGATAGCCATGGGGAAAGACATTCTAACCCCCTTCCTCTGTGGAGAGAAATGCAGCTGTTTCTTGAGCGTTTTGATGCACTGGGGAGGCCCCAGGTCCCCTGAAATGTAGAAATCTTGTGCAGATCTGAGTGTATTTGTGTTTGGGCAGTTGGTTGAATGTAAGAAATCAAATCTCACTCTGTGGTGTTTGCTCCACTAGGAAAAAAGTCTGTAACAAGGCACTGGCCCTGTTCTGGCCCCTCTAAGCTCAAGGCTTCTCAGCTGCATTGACTGCAATGTAGCATTCATGATTGCAGGATCAGGGACTTGCCCTTTAGTTTGATTTTAATAAACAGAGTGGAAAATGTATTGAAACAAAACAGTAAAAACCCTTTGCAATTTTGAATCATAATTTTTGCCTTTTAGAAGGTTCATTGATGCCAGGCAGGAAAATATGAGTAAAGACAAGTATGAGGGCCTGAGCGGTGCCCCGAGTGATTCATCCTTGCCACTGACTAAACCCAGCGGGGTTTAGGTCTCGCCTCAGCCCTTGGAGCTGGGCTGTAACAGCTGAACCAAAGGGCACCGGGCATCTCACCAACCACTTCGCTTTCAGTAGGCACTGGACCAGGTCCTGAACTTAGGTAGTATGGGCGGCAGTCTGCTTACATTTCTTCCTCTATCAAAGACATTTTTTATTACTTAACATAAAGTATAGCTGTATCTGTAAGCTGCATGTGAACATGCTATGCTTTTATTATCCTGAAGCACAGGACAGAATGCAAATACCATACCAGACATATTATATTGCACTAACATGTTTGTATCTGGCGCCTGCTTACAAACACCTCTGTTCCACAGTCACCATAATTGGTGTCTTATGCTCTTAAACACCCAAATACCATCTCCAAGGCGTCATTGCTCTTGTCTAGAACCTTCTCCCAAGCTTTTATTTTTAGGGGAGAAGGACTAAATAGGCTCAGGCCTTGAAGGCCACAGGGTGTTAAAAGGYGAATCTTCCTCTGCACAACCCCGGGGCTGCCAGACCCGCGCTGCCCCCTTGGGCGCAACCGCCTCGCTTCGTTCCTGCCAAAGAGTGCGGCAGGGACCCTTCCCGARTGTTATCCCACCGGCACCAGGCACTGGCACCAGGCAGGGTGCAGCCCCGCTCCCCACTTTGCCTTTCCTCGTCCTGGAAAGGAAAATAGATGGGATTTTCTAGTAGTGCTAGTATGTGAGCTCCTGGCCTGAAGATGCTGCTCCCTGGACAAGGAATGGATCGCCTTTGCTGGCTCTCTTGTGTCTTGCATTCAATACATTATTCCCAGGACTCAGCTTGGTTTCCCAAGGTGATTCCCTTTGCATGCTTAGGCGCTTATCTTGTAAGAAAACACTTTATAGGGTAACCGAAATTCTGGTGAGAGATCTCTTTTGGAACCAGTCACTCTTCCGTGTTATCGGTGAGCCCAGACATAAATCATTTGTGACTTTGGTATAGAAAAGATTTGCAAGCAGGAAGGTTGTCATCTTTTTTTTTTTTTTCTTACCACAGGCACAATTTAAAGAGGCTTCAGAATTACCCAAGTTTTTGATGCTTCACTAAAACATTAGCTGAAATATTAAAATATTAGCTGAAATTATTAGCAGAAACTATTTTCCGCGAAGTGTCACTACATGGGAGTGTTGTTGGGGAAGAACCAAAGTCTGCCCTTAGCTGCTTAGGCACAAATTCACCCCCCGCTTTCTGCTTCCACTTTGCTAGGTCGGCCGCTGGCTCCGAACCCGAAGTGCAGCCTGGGCCCTGGCAGAGCCGCCTGCCCGCAGTGCAACTGCCCTCGCTTTAACCGYGGGTGCCCTGACAGCGCTTCCCGCGCCTGTAGCCCTTGCCTGAGGTCTCGGTCATGCTCGGTACTTTAACTCTGACTGCCCAAGGATGTGTGGGGATGCAATACAATTACAGCATTTTTTATTTAAAGTAATTAGGAAAAAAAGGGTTCTTGTAGTGGACAGAAGCATTTGAAAAAGTGAACCTTAGGCTCAAACTGGGGGAGATGAACAGGACCCAGTTAGCTGTGTTTCAAACTTGTGACTTGTAGGGTAGAACAGCTGGAGTACTACAGAGTTGTCACTGCATTTGGATTGACTTAAATAGACATGAATGGGTTCAATATGGTCTTTAAATGTTGTGAACGCATTTTTTTTAAGGAAAAAAAAAAGAAAAAAGAAAACCAGTATAAGTTGCTTTTGGTCTTAGCCTTGATTGCTATAAGGTCAATTATGACATCTGAATCCAGTGGAAAGTCTCAGAGGGAAAGCCCTGCGGCACAGCAGGGCAGGACCTGTGTGACCACCTCTATGTTTTGCCAGCTCGTGACGCAGGTGACGGGCAATTTCCTGTGGGATGGGAGATGTACCCTCATTTACCTCTATCCTGTACGTGTCGGATCATGCCGCCCCTTCCTGACATGAATACCTGAGTGAAGAGCCGGCCCTCCCAGGGCTGCCCGTGCAGCCCGTGAGCGCCTCCTGGCACCAGGGCACRTCTGGGCTGCGCTCCGAGGGGGCACTCGGGCTCTGGGCAGGGCGGGAGCCGCTTCGTGGGCACTGGGGCTGGGGCTGGGGGCGTCCCGAGCCGGGAGCCGCGCGGCTGCACCGCGCTCCCGAGCCGGGAGCTCAGAGCCGCGGGCGGCAGCGGGCGCAGGGGCTCTGCTCAGGGCGGCGCGCAGGGCCAGGCCGCAGCGGCAGCGCCGCACCGGGGCGCCCCCAGCCCCTGCGCGCTGCCCCAGAGCTGCGCTCGGCGCCGCGGCCACGGGCGCCTGCCAGCGCTGCTGCTCTCACCGCGCTCGCCTCCGTCTGCCTCGCTGTGCTTCGGTAGTCTGCTGCTTAACCAGGGCAAAAGGAAGGAGGAGAAAAAGCCTTACTGAGCATTGTAATTATCTACTACCAAGCTGTGTGAGAAAATGGTTTAAATACTTAGTTGTTTTTGTCTAATATTTTCCATGTATACAGTAGTCCTATTAACGAATAGCTTATCTTCATTACTGAATATCACATTTTGCTGTTTGTTGTGTACCATAAAATAACATCAGCACATCAATAACTTAAATAACACAAATGTAAACGTATTTTCTGCTTGTTATAATTATGATCTTAGCCTACAGAGGCTTTTGGATTCGTTGTAAGACCATTCACATAATATGGAATGTAATTTTTATTTGTTTTTCTTTAGTGTATAATGAGACACCAAAAGCCCTTGTCATCTCTTAACAGGATACTAAAGCAGCTCTGTTTCATGAATGACAGCACAATTAAAGCTAAAAATCGAAATTAAAAAAACCCTTTGTACTGTACAATTTCATATTAAAGCAAGATAGATAATGACARTCTTTTGCATTAGCCAGGAAATGTGATTCTCTGCCATTGGGCTTTTCTTTTTGTTTTCTGATTGACAATTCACATAATGTGTATATGGGTGTAGTTATAGGTGTGGATATTCTATGCAGAACAGCAGTCCCTATTTTGTTGATCTAGTTCTCCTAATTGTTTAGATAAACTATCTAACTGATACAATTTAGAATACTACATTAACACATTTAACATCAAGTTTACATACTTGCGCCTTTGAAATACTAGGAACTTTTACACATTTTATTTGGCTTTGTAAGGACTGGAATATTATTACAGATAATGCAGTCTACTTGTCTTTGAAAGAATATGGCTGTTACCAACTAGCTCTCTAAGGTTCAGAGTGAAATCCATTTCTCCTCCTATCTGTAGCTGACTTGAGAGAAGAGAGTATCATCTCCTTAAGTGGTCAGTCTGGTGTTACAGTACAGATTCTGCAGAGATACATGTGTATTTATATATTGAATGAAGGATAGTTCTCTCTGGACATTAGAGTTAAGCAGTTGCAGCAAAATTACTCCATTTAAACTAATTTTCTATACAAATCTCAAGAAAAACCTATTCCAAGTATGTTTTGTAGTAGTATCTCCACATGACCAGAGGAGGGCACTTTAAACATCTCTGCACTGCCCGGGGGCGAATGCAGAAGCACAGTGTTACCCAAAGTCGCATGTCCCGCACGGGTCCTCCCAATGCCAAGATTCCTTTGTCCTGAAGAGCACAGAAACAGGGAGCACGTGTGGTGCCACAGGGCTCTGTTCGGAAAAGAGCAGGCTCGTGGATCGCCCTCTTCTCTCTAACTAGCTTTTCTTCTCACTTCCCCCATTAAATTCAGTGTCACCGCAGGTTAATTTCAGATTAACAGATAATTTTTAAAAATTGTGTTAGGGGAGTTCTCTTCCTCTCCTTCCTGAATATCCCTCGGCTGGTAATTTAAAACATATTGATTGATTTAACCCACTATGACTTATCCTGCTTCAGAAATTCCTTGCCTTTAACTGAAAAAAGCACTTGGAAAATGCACTCTCTGAGATATGTATTGCCACAGTGCATCTTTTCCCACGGAGCTCCTGGAGAAGAGCTGCTCCTTTCTGCCTCTGCAGGAGGTGGCCGGGCGGGCCAGCACATAGCAGAGAAATCAACAGGCCCGCGGTGCCCTTCGTGACCACGACGGAGCTCAGCCACCCTCCGCAGCGACGGTCCGGACAGCCTTTCTGTTCTCATTTTGGCTAAAGGGATCAACCCTCTGTAAAAAGGACTTTAATTCCRCAATTCTACTGTAATCCTAGATAGAATTTTTTGTCATCTCCCTGCTTTGTTTTGTTCCCGTTTAACACTGACAAATTACTAGAAGGGATATAGAAATGGTTCTTTTTTAATACAAGTCTCTCTTCCATCTGGGGGAATCACAATGCTTATTTAGTATACTTTTCTTCCACAACGTTCTCTCTCTTCTCTTCTTTTTCTTTTCCTTTCTCCTTTCTCCTTTCCTCTTTTGCTCTCTCTTTTTGTTTGGCTTTCCTTTCCAGAGCAGACAGGTACAAGAAGGAAGATGTCTTTCGTCAGCAGTCCTTTGAGACAGAGTAGATTCAGTGAGTCCTCACCATGATAGGATCATAAACTTACTGGGTTAAACCAAGCTAACTTTCCCTAAGCTGCCAAGTTTTAGCTGCACCATACATATATATGTTTCCTTGTGCCATTTTCTTTTCTTATAATTTTGTTTTTCTTGATGACCCTGAGCTATGGCTTCCGTTCCGTTTCTACCCCTAGTCAGCCTTCCTTGTTTTTCTGGTTTTGCCGATGTAGGCCTCGAAGAAAAAATGGCAGAAGAGCACGAAGTAGCTGAGGTACATGAGAGAGGACCAGATGATGTTCTGCACGTGGGAATGGCACTGGCCCTGCTGCATCCAGGAGAAGACCAGGTAATTGACTACACAGCCGATGAGCATCTGAGTGATCTGCGACAAGGTGATGAACATGGCAAACTTGCGAGAGACTCTGAAGCCAGCGGCGCGCAAGGCATAGTAAGAGTACATAACGGCGTGCACCCCGTAGTTCATGGTCATAAACCAGCCACCACCAGCCACCATGTCCTTGTACGAATACCAAGAGTAAAGCAACACAGTAATGTGGTGGTACCAGTGCAAGAAGATGAGCTTCTGTTTCCTAAGAATAATGAATATTGTATCTCCTGTAACAAAAAAAGGGAGGGGAGGAGATCAGAAACACACGGACAATTCCAGCATCACTGAATACTTTGCAATGCTTTCGTTGTTTTGCTCTCACTGGAGCAGACACCATTCTGGAGCATGAAAAAGAGCCTCAGAGCCTGTCTGACCTGAAATCCAGCTTGGCCCTTGATCTCTAAAGAGTCGGTGGTGAACAGAGGCCCCACATTTTCCTGTGTGGACAGCTCCTCTATGAAAACTCCATTGGTTTCATTGGTAGCCCATCATTACATACAGAATCTGTGAACATCTGCACTGAGGTGGGTGGGTCTGTGTATATGTGTGTATTATTCTGCACTGTGAGGTTGTCCACTACATATCATGGCTGGAAGAGAAATGCAATTTCAACAGAGAGCAGAAAAACTAAAGTGTCAGCAGCACAGAGTCCCTTCAGTTGTGATGTCCAGATTTAAGGCAGCATTTCGCAGAACTAGCAGCTACAAGTGCAAACAAAATGACTTGTAGAAAATTAAAATTTCTTTTAGGGTCAATGAGGTTTATAGATCCTTAGTAACTATGAGGCAACTGCTTAAAGTAAACTGTTGGGCACCTAGGTCAAAAATTCAGACAAAAACATACAAATCCATACCAGTGGAGAGACGCAATCTAACAAATGGGTCTGAAAGGTTTTCTTACAGCTATCAGTGGGAAAGTGTATCATTTTGTCACTGCAACAGGACAGTCAAGTAGTGAGAAATGCGATATAACTCTAGGCTGAAATTATTTCGAACAATCATTATGAATGTTTCCATTTTACTTGGGGGTCTAAATTGAGCTTTTTTATTTCTTCCGCACATGCTGCAGGTGTGAAGATTTGTAAGGGCTTGGGTTCCTCCTGCTGCCTCACGCCGGCCTGAACACGGGCTGGTGAGAGCGTGAGCAAGTCTGCCCGGCAGCCGCGAGCGGGACGCAGCCCTGCCCTGCACCAGCTGCACAGAGCGGCGCCTGCTGCGGCACGGCGGGAAAGCTGCCGCCGGTGCAGCCCGCCGTGCCCAGGCGTGCAATGGCCAGCAACAAATGCTCCGCAAACATGCTTGTTTTCTGGTGAAATGCTACTTACCCTTTTCTACAAATTCGTGCTACTTTAATAGAAAAGTAGATTTTGTTCTTCTTTCCTGTGTTTTCCCCCTTTTGCYTCTCATGATTGCACAAAGCATCTCAAATAGATATAATATGTATATAGGCATATACGTGCTTTTTAATTTCTGTTGTTATAGATCATGTGATTTTAAAAGGCCCCCAAGACTTGAATATTGGACCTGATTTCTATATATACATACCCGTGAAATTCCAGATCATGAGCATTAATGATGGGGGAACCAAAACTGCTTTGTATGAACTAGGCCTGCATTAAGCCATAATGCTTCTGTTTACTTCATTAGCTGCAAGATACTGACTCACATTTTCATAAATAATCATATAATCAATTTATTGTTGTATCTGTAGTTCTAGCTGATATTTTCCAGTCTCATCAAAACTAAAATTTATTTTAATTTGCAAAAACTGCAGACCTTTTTTTTTTGCAAAAAGTCATTTTGCAGTACTTGAAGCAGCAGGAAACCAAAGGATTCTGACACAGCAAGATACTGCTGCTTGTTTCCTTGCAGTTTTTATGTTGATGAATTGCTCTCCTGAATTTGCTGAATCAAACTCCCCGCAGAAGAAAAGAGCCCTTGGTCTTGCTGAGTACCTGCACACAGGCCATTCTGTGGGGCTTTGTGGTTTGAGCAAGGGCATCCTCACCAACGAAAGCTGCAGGAAAGCTCAAGCCCTGCCTCCTCCTTCCCATGAAAACAGTGCTTGCTTACACTAACAAGCCATGCRGTGACAACACGCGCAGGCTGGTCAGTAAGTTGGCTTTGGCAAGTGTATGGAAAGCAGCCTTACCAAAAAACTGCCCTGGGGACAGGAGGTMAGGAAAATCTGTATCCTACTGGAAGCAAGATAGCAAAAAATAGTGGTATTACAGGAAATGTTCTTCTATTTGGAAGGAGCAGAGAGCCAGAGCTTTCAGTGTTTAGGGAGGAAACACCTTACTGCTCATAACTGTAGGGCTGCACACATATTTTAGGACAAACACTTCAGAACGGAGACAGAATCTCACTTGAAGCTTCTTGCTGAAGGAGCTGCTGCATCCTGCCCTTCATGCTCGGTTCCAGCCCGGCGAGACGAGTGACTGCAGATAATGCCCCTCATACTTGTCTGTAAGCCCTGACAGCCTCAGGAGCGATCGCACGGGCCTAGGCACTGCCAAAGGAGATGCCAGCACACCCTGTGTTGTGGGCTCAAGACTTCTCACCCATTTTTTGTGGTAAGATAACGGGATGCATGGAGCTATTTTCAGGATGACTGACAGAGAGGCAAGGGATTTGGTTTTATTTGCTTTGTTTTCCCAAGACTGAGAGGAGGTTTGTGCAGCAACAATACCCCTCTCGTGCTTCCCATGCAAACACTTGTGCTCCACATATGCGTACCAAGGAAAAGGAGAGCAGCTACTCACCTAGTTCGGGTGCTTTGCTTAGCACAAATGCATATGCCCAAAATTTGCTGACAGGTCCATTGTAAAAACTCTGGTCACACACAGACTGCTTCAGGCCTTTGGTCATCAAAATGTACAGCATGTAAGCACCAGTTCGAACAGCACCGAATATACTTTAAAATACAAAGAGAAAATGAGGGAAGTTGAGTAGACACATCACAGCTGCATGTCATCATTTCACGTCCTTACAACAAAAAGTAATAACAGGTTAAGCCAGCCTTAAAACTGGAGTAACTCCATTGGTTTCTAGGAAGTTATTCTGCATTCTTATTTGTAAGGTGGATCGCAGTAGTGTCCCCTGGTGGAAGGCTACAACAGTAACATCAGTGGGTTTTATGTCCTTMCTGCAGAATGACTCTTCAATTGCCAGAAGCAGTTGGGGATATCAACTTCAGCTGAGAAAACTGATGCTGATGGATGGAAGATTACAAGGAATGAGCTAACAAAGAGCACCAACGTAACCAGCAGCAATTCCCTCTTCTGAGCACCTCAGTTTTCCCTTTTCTCTGTCTGTGCTCCTCCCACAGCAGCTCTGAGCATATGGAAAACCAGGTAGGACACAGCGCCGTTGATGGGGTACGTGGCCTAGGGCTGGGGTTTCAGGTGCTTTTGGTGCATGTTCAGCATTTGTGTTTTATCCCATAACAAGTCAGTGCTAACAGAGAACGTGACTGGCTGAGCTCAGGCGTGCTGAGCACTGACTCACGCTAACGCCATCAGGGTGACATGGAAGGTAGCGGTGTCCTTACCTCCCCTCTCACTGCCCTGCGTGCCTGTCCTGCTCATGGCAGCCCCGTAAGGAGGGCCRTGCTCGGGCTCTGCCTGGCGCAGCACACCTGGGGCGTTCGCTCTGCTCTCGTGCTGCTGCAYTGCGATGCACAACGTGTGCCCGTTCCGTCAGGAAAGCCACACAGCRGCGCTGAGCTGCTCTCGTCTCCCCAGCAGCGCCCTGCTCTCAGCTCCTGTTGGCATCGCGGTGCTTGCTCGGGGAGTCCTCCCCCTATTGCCAGGGGAGTCCTCCTGTGCTAAGTGCCAGCCAAGAAGATGCATGTTTATGGATTTAAGGAGTCTCGAGGAGGCTGTGTTTTCCATCAGCACTGCCCAAAGCAGTGCATATATTCACACACTTAGGCAAGCGAGCAGGTGCAGTCTCTCACACAGGACAACTGCAGTATTCTCAGCATCTGCACAGCCGCAGCACRGCACCGCTGTGCTCTCAGCAAGCCCTTCTCTTGCCTTCCTGGCCTGGTCCTTTCCACTGRGCAGCGACGGGCTGCCAGGGCCTGCAGTAGGTATTGTGAAACCAGGTGCAACTTGCTCGGTGTCTCCYCGCCAGCAGTTAACACATGCTCTGCATTCTCGGGAGTTGCGTTTCTCACTCCCAAGATGACAGGCAATCCTGACAGAGATGCGATCTGATCGCTTCCCGAGGCACTGAACTCCTCAACCTGGCCAGGACAGGCTGCTTCTTGTGCTTTGGGTGGTGGCAAAACTGGGTGGAGGAAGATCAGGCAGAATATCTAATGATGCACAGCCACTAAGCTAGTTCTCCCATTAGCAAATACCTCAGTGCTGACATTAAAGTAGGAAAAACGAAAGGGAAAAAAAAAGGAGGAAATTTTAAATTACAAAATCAAATAGCTACCAGCAAGATGCCTTTCCTTGCACAGAAACCGCATTGCTCTTTTAAAATATCATGTATTAAAGTTTTAAAACCAGAGAGGATTCTGTGCCACGAACACAAGTTCAGATGGGAAGAGCCCTGGTTTAAGYAACAGGCAAAACATTGACTTAACTGTAAGTGATTCAGTGTGGCAACCCATGGATTAAGCCCGGAATGATAACTGAGCTGAAGAGTATTTGCCTCATGGGGATTACAGTTTCACTTTGCTCTCCTTGAGATTACGAGGATGTAATTCTTCCTGTCTTTCTGTTTTGCTACTCCTGCAAAGCTCTCCCTGGAGTTACACACACGCAAACACACACACAGTGCTTCCTTTTCTATTTACATTGCAGTTTGTAATTTTGTAGCATCGTGGATTCTTCCGATTCTGAGATTCTAGAAGCAGCAAATAGCTCCTGTTTTACTTGGTGTGAGTCAGACTAACCTGATTTTTTATCAGTTACAAAACCCCTCACATTTCAGCATAATTCACGAGAAGGTTTTATGAATAAAGCAGATGGCAAGCTGCAAGGAACCTACTGAGTTGCTCCAGCACCTGCCTTCACCAGGCAGCTCTTGGTACYGCACGCCAAAGGGCTCTTGTCACCAAGCACCTGCCACCTGAGGGGGAACCCCTCTGGCTTTGGCCCGGAAGGAGAGCCCTGCTCTTGGTGCCGCTGCCGCCGCTCGCCGTGCRCGCTGCCGGGCCGCTCGCTCAGGGCACCCCTCCGCCCGCCCTGCCCTCGCCCCGTCCCTGCTGCGCCGCTGTGCAGAGCTGAAGCCCTGTGCGTGGCGAAGCAGCGCGCTGCGGGGACCATCTGCGGGGACGAGGGACAGCAGGGAATTACTGCGCAGCCACGGCCCTCTGCAGCTAGGGAGGCCCGTCACAAAGGCAGCGCCCCGCTGGGGCCGGGCCTGGGGCTGGGGCTGTGGCCTGCTCYGCTCACGCTCTAAATGCCCCACGGGCCTTTCCCTCAGGCAGCCACAGCCCCGGCAGAATAACCGAGACCCGATACCCGACTGCCATGGTAAGATAAAAACGTAGCAATAAGTAAAGTAAAATAAATACTATACTTGGTCTCATGAGGCTGTCAAGATGCATCACATGTGTGGATGAGGMGCATAAGACTTTTGAAAAGACAGCATTTTAGAGGGGAAACTGAGGCATGAGGTGCTAACTGATGTTACAAGGGAAGACAGAGGGAGCCACAAGCAACTGACTCCTGTTGCTGCCTAAGCTTTGCTCCATGCTACCGAGCAGAAGGAGGTCAACCCCTCACCTGGATGGGAAGCAAGGAGCTCAAGGCCTTGGTCCCATCCCCAGTGACAGGGCTGCTGATGCCCCTGGCCATGCCAGGCAGCMCAACGGGGCAGACAGCATGACTTACGCATTAAAAAGAAAAGCCGAAAGAAAGGCAGGCTTACATTTACCTGCCCGCAGTGACCCTCCTGAGCTCTATCACACCCTACCCAGAATGTTTCTCACACATTTTAGTAGGCTGCTTTTATATCTCAAACTCTCTCCAGCCCCATTTTTCAGCACATGCTGATGGACCCATTCCAGCACAGGCTAGAGCAACAGTTCCTCAAAAACTGTAGCACTGTGATAATCACACAGCAGAAATTYTTGGCTCTCATCGTTTTTGTTTGTTTGTTTGCTTTAAGCACAAGTAACTAAACAGACCAAACAAACTGGCTTTGTAAGTGCAGAAGTAGGTAAGATGGGAACTAGCACAGCTCTGAATGCAAACGAGGGGAGTCAGGCTSTAGGCTGGTGAGGAACCGGCACGCAGGCCTTTTTATTCTTTTTAGCACACAAAATATTTACAGAGGGAGCTTTCTGAATCAGAAAGCAGTGTCCAAAGGTCGGGAGCCAAAGAATGTGGAACTTTTCAATCCTTCTTTTGTGATAAATCAAATTTCATTCACCTTTAAGGTCTATTCAGTTTGCTGGTCGTATCGAGTTTCCTCTTCGCTGCTAAAGAACTTGTTTCTTAACAAAATAAAATGGCCTTTCTGTGCCCTGCTGATTTCAGACCTGCAGCCCTTATGAAAGAGCAGCAAGTTGGTGTGCTGGTGCTGGGGAGCACGGGCACTCGTTGCTCCAGCACCGCTCGGTTCGACGGGTCAGCAGGGCACAACRCTTTCAAACCAGGCTACGAGAAAGCAGTTACCGTAAAAAGACAACAGAGCATTTCTGGGCTTAGSTGAGCCACCAAAACCACACAGAGCATGAACAGATACTGCCAAAAATGTGCAGAGAAAGCATCCGTAAGAAAGCAGCTCTCTGAAGCAGGCTTCTGTGAGAGCAAAGCCGCTGAAGCCACCTTTGTCTGGCAGCTCAGCTCCCCAGCTGGGAATGGCCCCCACTACGAATGCGCGAGGACACCGGGAAGATCAGGACCTTTCAAGCACTATGTGCCAAGGAGGGTGCGTTGCCACACAGAGGAACCACTTGTGTCACCTCTTCACAGCCCTGTTTGCTTGCTGTTCACATTGTTAGTTCCTGAAAAGAACTCTGTTAAAATAAACTATCTTGAAACATCATGGGTAGACTTTTTATAGTTGTTTGCAAGTACGTACAGAGCTTTTCCTTTCACCTGGTAAGCGTGAGCTCCTTTCGGATCATTCTTCCCTTCTGCAGACCCGCGAAACGTGGTCCCAGAGCACGAGGGGAGCAGTGACAGGTACCAGAGAAGACCCAGCAGAGGTGGGACAGGATGACCRCAACTTCCTGAAGAAACCCATGGAGCATGTTGCCTGCAAGGAAGCTGCTTGCAGGAGATGTCCCTGCCCTGGCCATGGCAGGAGGGCAGGTTTGGCTGCCTGAAACCCACCGAGGCCCCTCCAGGGGATGCCTGCGCTGCAGGGGCCACCTGTCCTGCAAACCCTCCCGGACGTTTCCCAGCTGGCTGCGCAATTTCTTTCCCCTGGTGCCCAAGCAGCCCAAGCGTCAGCCGGGCGCCGCAGGAAGCGGCTCTTCCCGGGGGAAGGCGCCGGGCTGGTTCCCGCCAAGCGGCGCGGATTATACAACCCAGCCGCTCGGAAAAAGGGCACTGGCAGGAACTGCTCGCCTGCCTCAACCTAAAAACTCCCTGCTTACAATTTTCAGTGGCTTCAGTTCCTGCAGAGCAGTGTGTTCTGAGGAATCGTTAACTGCTCTGTGAAAACAAACACAATCTTACTAGTTAAAGCAAGACGTTTTAGGAGAACCTGTATTTAGAAATAACCGCCACCAAAAAGGCGATGTTGAGCTAAAAGTGGTTTTCTGGGTGGTGTATAAYGAAGAAGAAGCTACTCCAGCCTGGCCTGTGTTAACTAGAATTGTGGATCAACAGTCTATTGATTTGCACTGGCTACTGGGCACATAGTTAAAATGTGCTGCTCTAAACACCGTGTGTGGGTAGACTTAGCACATTGTGCTAAGACTGGGGAASAATGCAAAGCCCG